TCGTTTGGCATTGCTGTGCCAACTGGGCAGAGAAGTGACCTAACTGATCATTTTTGAATTTGCCTGCTTTTGGTTTTACCTTTTTGCTCTTGATGTGAAGCTTATTTTATGAATTATTGGTTTGATATTAGGTTTTGAAAAGATCAGCAATGTGTGTGCAGCCAAACCGGGTGGATGGCCATTTGTAAATAAGACTGCTGACACAAAAGGAGGCACATAACACTTTGCTGAGCAGTGCAGAGAGGCTTTGTGCAGGGCTTTAGACAGTTCGGGTTCAATCAGATTTTTTTTCCTCTTTTTGGATAGACAAACAGGTGTGGCGATGAGGAAAGACTACTGAGATTTTACACCAATCACTCCGGTGCAGGGATGACTCCAGTACCTTGGAGGGAAGGATTTAGCAGTGGGTGAAGTTCACTTTAGTTTCAGTGAAAACATTTTTTTTAATTGTTACAGAGGGCTGTTTGGTGTCTGTATCAGCTGTCACAATAAAGTTCTGCAAAGTTCTCAGATTACACTGTTATGTATCTGTCATTTTTGTGGTTCTATTAAACTGCATAGCTTGCAATAAAATAATCAAGATGGGAAAAGAATTGTGCTCCAGGCATGAAGAAAAGTGGGGAACCTGCAGAAGAAGGAGACACATTTGCCCCGAGCTTTGGCTCCTCCTGTGCCTGGTAAAGGGGCACCGACTTGACAGAGCTCCTTCAGAGGTCCACACATTCAGCTGCTGTCTGCACACACACAGTAGTACTCTGCATGAGTCAGCTGATTGTGATGCTTACAACATGTTGAGGGTCTGACCTGCTGTTTCTTCATTTACATGATATGTAAAGTAACTACTGAGCAGGTTTTGCATGACAGCCGCCAAACCTTTCCTGCCCATCTGTTTATTGAAATTACATCTGCCACAACTTTAAAGGTGATTTATGGTACTCTCGTGCTTCACATCATGTAGTTCTTTAAGTACAGTGACTTCATGTTCAAGAAAAAAGTTTGAGATGATCTGAGCTTTGTGACATTTTGTATTATCCTGCTGGAAACAGCAATCAGAAGATGCATACCATCTGGTCAGAAAGGTATTGACCTGGTCAGCAACAGTACTCAGGTAGGCTGTGGTGTTTAACTGATGCTCAGTTGCCACCAAGGGGTCCAAAGAGTTCAATGCTTTGTTGGACTTTCAGCAGGTCATCTCGACGATGCTTTCATGCCTAAATGCACCTAAATGCCTGAAAATGTAAGGGAACACTTTGAAAACACATTAGATCTCAATGAAGGGGAAAATCAATGCAAGTTAGGAATACCTTCTTTTTCTTAACTTGGTAACATTTTTTTCCCTTTAGAGCAAAATTAGAACTAAACACGTGTTAAACAGCAGACCCTGCTCTCTGACTTCCTCCTGAGGTTCGTTCGAAGAGTTCCTGCAGTGGGAAATTACCTAAGTTAAGCAGATTTCTTGGGCAAAGTTGCAAAAATGAACCCATCCATGTAAAACAAACTAGTTAATAATCTAAATGTAAACTAGTACATTATTTTATAAATGAAGCAACCCAAGGAATTATATCACCTTCAGCTTAGTATGTACACACAATTACATTTTTTAGCAGCAACATTTTGTACAGCAAGAATGGCAATCATTTAATGTGGAGCACACTCTGGGAGCAGTGGGCCGGACCAGTCAAACGCCCTTTCTGTCAGTGTAAAGATGTCCTGTTCATTTTTTTGTTACTGTTGGCCTAATGTTTAAAAAATATATAGTGTAAATTGGAAAAATAAAAAACCACTATAAGCACTGTTTCCTGTCATTGTCAATGGGGGATGTGGTCATCTGTAGGCAAAGCTGTAAAGCTAATGTGAATAAAATTAAAAGTACAAAATCTAGCATGCCAGTGTATATATTTTCCAAAAGCCGAGTGGGCCGGATTGGAGTCTTTGCCAGAAGATTCTGGGCCCCGGGCCTTAAGTTTGTCAGCCTTGCTGTAGAGCAGTATACATGTGGGATCTCCATCCTCACTTTAACCCTTGCTTGCACAGCAGGCAGTGATTCATTACTAATGGAAAATTTCGAAGCGGAAAAAAAAAACAGAAACGGGAGGGGCGGGGTTTCCTCTGTCCGGTATTGGATACAGTTGGAAGTCTCAAGGCTGCTCCGCCCCTCCGTTCTGCAAGCTGCAGGCAGACGCCGGTGCTCACTGCAGTCACTCCGCAGTGCATCCAGCAGCAGACTGCAGTCTCCTCACACCGCGCCTCCCTGCGCTCCCCTGGCAGGTGGAAAGGACACTTATAGAAGCACGCGGGGTCGCGACCATGTAAGTATCATCTCGAGTATCTTCTAGTTTAAGAAACCGTCCGGTGATGGTGATGTTTGTGATAGTAGTTGACTGTTATTTTGCAGGAGTTTTTGCGGCGTTGCGCACAGGTAAAGTTAATTTGTTTGCGTCATCGTTTATCGGCTGCAGGAAAATGCATTTTCAAGCTGCTCTAATACATCAGTGTTAACAATAATAATAATAATAATAATAATAATAATAAACAATGAAGATCACAGTCCGCCCCGTTACTACATCACCTGTATCTGTGAAACGCCCTTCCTCTTTAATGCCTTTTTTGTAAAGTTGGAATAAAATTAGGATCTGAACAAGTTGTGATCACAGCGGGATGCGATGAGCTGCCGATCTCGGTTCTTCCTTGACCTCGAAATGCCTTTGGATTGATTTAGAAAAGACCCAGCCTGATGATGCAGCAGATTCCTTCGCTCTCTCCCTGATTGCGTCGCACTGAGGCAGGAAAACGTGTCCTGTTTCACCTCCGCAGTGCAAACACGCCGGGATGCAGCACAGCAGGCAAACTCCGATTTCTGCAGTCTAGCGCCTTTAAAAAAAATAATAAATTAAAAAAAAATTCTGTCGTTATCATTGTCTTTCATTTTAGAACAGCAGTCCTTTGATTATTTAGAGAAACTGTAGAGTTATTCTACCCACACAACATCCTTTCGCTACAAAATCATTAATGCTGTTTGTCTTTCTTCATCACTCTTTTAACTTGTACACAGACAGTTCTCTTAGTTGTTTCCCATCAAATGATTCTTTGATACTCATGAGATTTTTTTCCTCTTTGTTACGTAAATCATTTGCAAACATCATTGCCTTGTGTGTCCTCCCACAGGGCTTTCATCTCAATCTTTGCTATTCTGGCCCTTGTGGTCTCAGCTGAAGGCAGTGTTGGGTAGGTGGAACGCTTCATGCAGATGGCATTACAAACCTATGATAGCACTGAAATGTTCCAGTTTCAGTTACACGCTATGGTTTTCAAACATGGCTTTAAAGTGGAGGTGTGTGTCCTCTCAAGGAGGAAACTTTATTCTTTTATGAGTTATTTACAAGTTTCTGACCACTTATAAAATGTGTTCAATGTGCTGCCCATTGTGTTGGATTGTCAATGCA